CGGGGGGGGGGGGGTGTGTGTATTTGTGCCCTTCTGTAAATTTTGCATTTCAGGCAGATTTGTGTATTAATTTTAAAATGCTCGGCTTTGCTCATCAGGGAGAGGGCAGCGGGCTGGGGGGGTTGTGGCATTGAGGAGAACTACTGGAAACCTTTCTTCTGAAATTTCAGTGGATGTTTCAAGCACGCACCTCCCCATGGTCATGCAATTAGGTACTTGCTTTGAAGAGAGCTTGGAATGCCGCAATGTGGTTTCTGTGCTTGCCCCAGCGCTGTATGTGCACACAGCCCTGACTTTTCCATGCCTGCTCAAGCTTTGCTCAGAGATCCCTGTTAGGACTCAAATGTATTTTTTTAAATGCTTCTCTCGTCTAGCATTCTGCCCCCTGCCCACGTACATACTAATTTGGGGTAAAGCCAGTGTGTTGTAGTGGTTAGAGACTATGACTAGAGAGACCTGGGTTCACATCCTGGAGCCAGTTTGGTGTAGTGGTTAATAGTGTGCACTCTAATCTGGGAGAACTGGGTTTGATTCCCCACTCCTCCACGTGCAGCTGCTGGTGTCACCCTGGGTTAGTCACAAGCTTTTTTAGAGCTCTCCTCTCAAGGGCAGTCCTCGAAAGAGCTCTCTTGGGCCCCACCTACCTCACAGGATGTCTGTTGTGGGGAGAGGAAGGGAAGAAGATTGTAAGCCGCTCTGGGACTCCAGGTGAAGGGCGGGGTATAAATCCAATCTCCTCCTCCTCCTCCTCCATCACTCTGAATGTTATAAAAAGTTTTAAAGGGGGGAGGGGAGGAAAAAGATGTTTCAGGCCATAAGTTTAGACGCCTGTTCTCACCAGCATCCCTGGTGCTCTATGTTGGTGGGCAAGTAATAGGAGGGTTTGGTGTCATCTTGCACTCTACTTCGTCTGTGCAAGTTGAAATTACAAGTCTAGCTCGCCATCTAGTGATGCATAACACTAAAAGAGCTAGAACTTCTGGTTGCCGCACAATCTTAGGATCTCCTGGCTATACTACACACGCTACCATACGATAATTATTAGTACAAGGTCACCCAGCCAGCTGCAATAGCAGAGTAGAGATTTTAACCTAAACTTTCAGTGCCTAAGGACTGAGTCCGTATCATAAGCCAACATGAAAAGCCTCTTGCTGTACCTGGCAATGCTGCGCAACCACAGCGAAATGCCAAAAATTTGCTAAACTTGTCTCTCAGATGCCATTTGATATGCAACGTTTTTGCTTTATTTATTTTTATTTGACTTCATGTATTTTCTCCCCAATGGGACTTCTCTCCCCAATGGGGACCCAAAGCAGCTCACAACATGGTTCTCCTCTCCTCTCTGTTTTATCCTCACAAACAACCCTGCGAGGTAGGTTAGGCTGAGAGGATGTGACAGACTCACAGTTACCCAGCAAGCTTCCGTGGCGAAGTGGGGAGTCGAACCTGGGTCTCTCAGATCCTAGTCTTATGCCCTAACCACTACACCGCTCTGGCTCTGCTGGCTTTGCGACAGCCTCTCCTTCTACCTAGCAGGCCCTATGGCCTCTCCCCTGACCTCTGTGGATTCTTTGGTGTGTTTTTTTAAACAGATAGATGAGCTCTACGAAGCCTACTGCATCCAGCGGCGGCTCCGGGATGGCGCCCATAACATGGTCAAGGCCTACACAGCTGCCTCACCCGGCAGCAAGGAAGCCCGCGAGAGTTTGGCCGAAGCCAGCAAAGGTTATAAAGAATACACAGAGGTGAGCCAAGATGGGAAGAGGATGGGGGGAAGCACCACAGGCTAGGCCGTCTCGGTCGGTGGCATTTAATGGGCCGCTGTTTGATGTCTTTCCTTGACAGAACATGTGCTTGTTGGAGAGCGAACTGGAGGGTCATCTGGGAGAGTTCCACATCAAGATGAAAGGTACCGAGCCCCGGGGAGTATGATATGTCACACACAAGCTTGCCAATATTTTGGCAGCCGTTTTGTAACAAAAAAAGCAGCTTGAGTGTGGTTTTGAATGGGGGGGAGGGGGCTCCTTAACATTTTCTTCACCAGCACCTTTTCTCCCCCGTTGTCTCTGGTCCTCAAAACCTCTTGCAGGGCTCTTTTTGTAGAAAAAGCCCAGCAGGAACTCATTAGCATAATAGGCAACACCCAACAGCAGAAACTCGTTAGCCTAATAGGCCACACACCCCAACAGCACAGTTCATTAGCACCCCCCCATTAGCCACACCCCCATGTCTTCCCTTGACTTGCCCAGTTGCCCCACGGCTGCGGGATGCCTGGCAAGCTGGCCCTTAAATGTCTCCCCAATCCTTCCAGGGGGGGGGGCCCTGGCCTGCCTGCTTCGGAGTCGCGGGGGGGGGTCGCTCTCCATGCCTTCCCTCTGTAGCCACGAGCACAGACGTTTTAGCTGTAGTGGGTGTGGCCAACTCTGAAGCCAGCCGGAACTCCATTCCTGTGCGTTCCTGCCCAAAAATAGCCCTGCTAAGGGACTGGGGTGTCTGTTCTGACTCTTTTTCCATTTCTCTTGCAGGGCTGGCCGGCTTTGCTAGACTCTGCGCTGGGGACCAATACGAGGTTTGTGAAAAAGGGCTGGCATTCAGGTTATATAGCTGTGGAGGGGGCTTAGATGCTGGAGAAGAGATGTGACAGTGCTTGGCTGGTGCTTGAACAAACCGGTTTGAGGGGTTGAGTCTGTCTGTCGTGCTTGAAGTCTTGCTTGGTAACAACCCCGGGTGAGGTACATTGGCCTCCTCTGTGATGTTATCCTCACCCCTGGCTCTGGGGATATTGTTGCAGGCTGGATCTCCACATCGGCTTCTTTTAGGCACCACACCAAAACATTTCTTGTCATCCAGGCTTTAATGAAGGGGTTGATCTTTTAAATAATTTTTATGGTCCGTTTCTAGCCTGAGAACTATCTTATGAGACTCGTCTTAGGCAACTAAGGGGCAAACCTGAGCTGGTCTACTCGGAATCCTACTCAGGTGTATTCAGTGGGACTTCCAGCCAAGCGTTAGTATTTAGCTGTACATGTTTTATGTTGCCTTTTCTCTCAGTGGGTTTTTGATGCTTTTTATGGCTTCTGTGCTGTGTTATGATTTTATCGTTTTATTTACTTTGTGAGCCTCCTCCAGAGGAGGCAGCATATAAACTCTCTGAATGAATTAAGAATTCTGAGACAGCCGCATGCTGTTTAGTCGGCCTGGCTGACTCCAGTGTCCTGTCCCTCCCCACCCTTGTGGCAGATCTTCATGAGGTACGGACGGCAGCGATGGAAGCTGCGTGGACGCATTGAAGCCAACAACAAACAAGTGTGGGACAGTGAGGAGATGATCTTCCTCCCCCTCATCACTGAGTTCTTGTCCATCAAGGTAACCAGCACCTTCCTGACGAAGCGGTCCCTTTCTCAGGAAAGGCTAGCCAGTTCGATGTAGTGGTTAAGTGCACAGACTCTAATCTGGGAGAACTGGGTTTGATTCCCTACTCCTCCACTCGCAGCTGCTGGATGACCTTGAGCAAGCCATAGTTCTGTCAGAGCTGCTCTTGAAAGAGCAGTCCTCGAAAGAGCTCTCTCAGCCCCGCCTACCTCACAGGGTGTCTGTTGTGGGGAGGGGAAGGGAAAGGAGTTCGTAAGCCGCTCTGAGATTTCGAGTGAAGGGCGGGGTATAAATCCAATCTCCTCCTCCTCCTCTTCTTCTTCTTCTTGTTGTTCTTCTTCTTCTTCTTTTCCTTTCTCTTCCCAGGTGACAGAGCTCAAGAGCCTGGCCAGTCACGTGGTCGTGGGGAACGTCTCTTGCGAAACCAAGGACCTGTTTGCGGCTCTTCCCCAGGTGGTGGCCGTGGACATCAATGACCTGGGGACCATCAAGCTGAGCCTGGAGGTCAACTGGAAGTGAGTGGCCAGAGGCGCCTGTTCATTTAAAACGTATATGCCCTCTCTTCAGACACATGCTCATGGTGTCTCACAGCGTACAAGATAAAATCAGTAAAATTAACCCATTACAACCAGCCAGTCAGAAGCCCAGGAGCAGAAAGGCACATAAAACACCCCAGCTGCGCAGAAAACATTCAGCCTACCAAGTTTCTCCGCTGATGAGCCATGGAGAGGGTGCTGTCGGGTGATTGCAGAGACGGCTGAGATGCTGCAGGACACAGTGGTCGGAGGGCGTTATTTAGTATGGACGGATCGTGTCCCTTCTCCCCAGCTCCACCCTGCTTTTGGAAAGCTGGCTGAGTGAGGTGCCCAAGCTGCCCCATGTGGACCTTCCTCTCACACATACCACCCCTGGTCTGGGTTGCTTGGGCCTGGTCTACCCGTACAGCAAAAGGAGGCGGTAGAGTCTTGCACTGATACAGACTGTACCACTTCACCATGTTTTCCAGTTCTCCCTTGTGTGTAGCTAGGGGGGGAACCCCTTCCTTGCAAGCGCAAAGCTTGGCACGACAGGCTGGGCTAGAAGTTAGTTGTATTTATTTACATTATTTGCAGCCTGCCTTTCTCAAAAGAGATCCAGGGTGGGTTACACAATGCTGATCAGTGCAGTCAGGAATGAAAAGCAATGCCATAAGACTAGGAATTGCAGGAATCTGAAAACGGAGCTCTTGTCTGAACAAAGCTTAAGTCATTAAATGTGACGTGCGAAACAATACAAACCCACGGTGTTACATCCGTAGAAACCAGTGCATGTTCCTGGGCCAGTCTGCTAGGATGTAGTCCTGTTTCCTTTATGAAAATGCCTTCCTGGACAGTTCTGCTTTACATCATTTGGGAAATGCCAGGAGTGTGGGGGGACTTTCCAACCTCCATAAGGTATGGGCCATGAACAGGCACACGAACAGGCAGTTGTTGGTCTTGGCCATCTGCAGGGTGGCTCCAGGCCCTGATCAGATGAGCCAGGTTGGCGTGGTGGGACGCAAGTGGAAAAGCGGTCTTGCAAGATAGGAGGGTCCAAGGTTGTGCAGGGCTTTGCATGTAAGAGCCAGTACTTGAACTGAGCTCAGTAACTGATGGGACTACAGTGGAGTGACTACAGAATGGGTGTGATCAGAGGTCATTTCGGGGGGGATCGCGGGGGATCGCAGTTCCCCCGGGTGAGGTACGGGGGGCGGGGCACATGACGAAGCCCCGCCCCCTGCTTCCGGCCCCCCCGCTTCCTGCCCTCATTCAGCCAGGAGGAGGCAGGAGAAGAGGGAGGGTAAGTTGCTTCCTCCCTGCCTCTCCCCACCCCTGCCTGCCTGGGGCCAGGGAGGGCTTCGCGGGGCTTCCTTGCACTCCCGCCAGCCTTGCAGGTCCACCGCCGGGCCCCTCATGGGGCTCGGCCGTGGAGCTGCAAGGCCGGCAGCAGCCGGGACCGTTGGGGGCGGGGTGTGTGGCCTTATGACACACTTCCGGTGATGTCAGGGGGTGTGACATATGCTAATGAGTTATGCTAATGAGTTCCCCTAGCTCTTTTTCTACGAAATGACCCCTGGGTGTGATATGCATGCTCGGTCCTAAAGCAGTGGTGTGTTTTAATGTTCTGTCTCCTGCCTGCATGGTGTTCCATCCTCTGGGGGTAGAACGGTGGCCATTCATGCTGTTTTTTCCGTTTCGGCATCATGGCAAACAACAGTTAGCACAGAGCCATGGTTTCTTACTCCGGCTTGCCAGGCAGCCTCAAACCGTGGCTGTCAATGTCAGAGTCAAATGCAACTTGCGTGATGTATATGTTGAACCTAAGAGTGAACTAAGGGAATGTGTTGAATTCCCTTTCCCCGGGCTGCCTCTGCACCACAAGACGGAGGAGGCCAGCCATTCTCACTCTGCTTCCTTTTGTTCAGCCCTTTCGACAAGGAAGACCAGCCATCGTCTGCAAGCACCGTGAACAAGACATCCACGGTCAACAAGAGACTCTCCATGTACAACCAGAGCCCGCCTGACACACCCTCAATGCGTGAACAGGCCTTTTATGTGAGTGGTGTCTTTGGGCAGGAGATTGTCGGGGTCGCAGGGAGGGGAGCGGGTGGGGTTCTCTGTCTCTTCCCTCCTCCCAAGAGCACGGAATGTGTACAGCTCTGTGCGATGCCTTCTTTTCCATCTATGCTGTTTACATTATGGCTCATAAGCGGTCTTGGAGAGCTATATGGTATGCAGTGTGCACCTTCAGGCTGTTGTCTGGGTCTTTCTCAGATGTACTTGTTAAATTGGCTACTTTTATGGCCCTTTCCAAGCTGGGACAGCGCAGCCTTTTGGCTGTCCAAGAGGAATAGACTGTCACATCATAGCGGCCTCGGGCTGTAGTCCACAGGGCCACTCGCCTCGCCACGTAAAGATGCACAGCATCTCTGTCTGTCGCCCTCAGGGTTGCAGCTTCCATTTTGCCTTCCAGTGCCCAGTTTGGGGAGGGGCCACAGCTCGGGGCGGAGCACCTCCTTGTTGTGCAGAAGGTCCCAGGTTCAATCCTTGGCATCTCCAGCTATCAGGGTACCGTTGTAGATGATGTGAGAGACCGCCACCTGACAACCTGGAGAGCTGCTGCCAGTCTGAGTAGACAATGCTGAACTTGATAGACAAATGGTCTGATTCAGTATACGGCCGCTTCATGTGTGCACGCGTAATATAGAGGGTTAGGTCCCATAGTTGGGGGGAGGGGGATTTTCTCCAATCCCGGGAATGTTGACTTGCAGAGTTATGGGCCCCTTGGGGACTAGCGGCCGCACGGTCTGATTCAGTATACGGCCGCTTCATGTGTGCACACGTAATATAGAGGGTTAGGTCCCATAGTTTGGGGGGAGGGGGATTTTCTCCAGTCCCGGGAATGTTGACTTGCAGAGTCATGGGCCCCTTGGGGACTAGCGGCCGCATGAGTGAGGGGTCTGCACCAATGAGCCGAAAGGAGCCACAGCGGCCTCCATCCATTAGCAGAGCCGTGTCGACGAAAGCGGTCTGAGGGGTGATTCTGGTCTCTCCCCACTCCTCAGTGTAGCCTCCCGATCCGTCTGTCTTTCTTAGTCCCTGTGGGTCCCTTGATTCTGCAGGTCAGCTTCCTCTGGGTTGAGGAAGGAGCCCTGGGGGATTTGGAGAGGAAGGCAAAGGTCTGCCTCGGTCAGCATCTTCTGCTGACGAATCTTTGGATCTAGCCCATGGCTTTGACCAACTGATGTCTCTTTCTTCTTCTTAAAAACAATGAATGGACTTCCTTTGCTCTCTATGCCCGCTTCTGATCAGAGACTTTGAGTCTGGTGTTCCCATGGCATTTAAGAACGGTAGACGTTTTATGTTCTTGGGTGCAAGGAAAAGGGGACTGTGTCCTCCTTGGAAGGAAAGCTGCTGTTAGGGCCACTGGAGTTTACGGAGACCATCAGTGGGCCTGATTGTTAGGCATGGGGAGGGATTGAACAGGGACGGGTGGGTGGGTTTCTTAATTCCGATTGATTAATGGGAGATTGGGGCACCGACCTATGAAGACCTGGGTGGTACCAACCCTTGGTACTGACGGTTGCCTCTTTCTCCAACCAAGAGCTTTCCACGGGCGGCGTCACCCAAGCCAAGATGGGCCTTGCTGGATATTTTCCGGGAGACCCTCCTGGAGAGGCTCCCCCGGAGTTGCTCATGCAGCGACGTCTCCTCTGTGCAGCTCAGCACGAGGGCAGTGCGGGACTCTGTAAGTGATGGCCCCGTAGTGTTCGCATAGCTTCCCGGCGTAGAGGAACATGCGCTCTGCCTCCTGTGCATTAGCCTGTGACACTCTTCACCCCCTCCCCCATTTGAAGCCTGCTGCAGTAGAGCAAGAGAAGTGCTTATCCATGCCAGAGGGGGCTGTGCCCCTCCAGGCCACTCGGCAGTCCTCCCTGCCCAACCTGCTTGTTATGTGCTTGCTTGCTGCTGCCCCTTCAGGCAGGATGAATGTAGTGCAGGCAATTCCATCTACATTCTGTCGCTGTAGATTCCTTCCTTACGTTGCCGGTACAGAAGAGAACCAGTCTTATCACCCAAGCCCATTTCAGAGTTTAGAGGTCACTGCAGCAAAAGACCTAGGGAGGATATTAGGAATGACGGTCCTTCAGATAGGTAGGTCCACGGTCATCAAGGTTTTTATTGGTCAAAACCAGTACCTTGAGCCCATGGGTTGAAGTAGGCCAGGAAATTTAGAAACCGTGTAGAAGAAGGCTTTAAATGGGAAAAGCTTGAATGGAAGGCCAGGAGCCAGTGTCCCTCTATTCTGCATGAAGGGTATGGAGTCAAACAGATTAGAAACAGGGGCTTATGCCCATCTTGTTTCTCAGAGACACTGTCTCCTACTTGACAAGGGAGACTTGAGTTGTTAGAGCAGGAGGGGAAATGATATCCCAGGATAGCTCTGGATCCATTTGCACCTGTAAGAGAAGATGATTCGGCTGGTCGTGGGTTGATAGGCTGCATCCTTGAATACAAAATACAGAGCAGGTATCTCTTGTTTGCGAGAATGATACCATCTTCACAGGTCCTAGCAAGGGGGCTTCTTCAGATTGCACGCCCGCCCGCTGTAAAATAAGGAATGGTCTGAGCAGCAGACGACCTTGGCTGTAAAAAGTTGTGAGACTCCAGTGGAAGAGCAGCAATCCCCCCTGTGTGTATCGTTTCCCCCCCCCTGCCTGCAGAATGAACTGACTCCCAGTGAGCTGGGCCGGGGGAAGGAGCAGCTCAGCGGTAGCCTGGTATAAAATGGTAGTTAGCGGCAGCTTGTTGGGGCAGGGGGTCAAAGGAGGGCTGTGTGGTGCTCATACAGACGCACCGTTTTCCTTGCAACCCCGTCCACTGATGCCCCCGTGCTGTGTTTCCTACAGAATATGCTGCGGCAACAGGAGGATCTGGAGAACGGGGCGGCCTGGTCCATATCTTCAGAGTCGTCTGACGATTCTTCCAGCCCGCAGCTGTCCGGAAGTGCCCGCCACATGCCTCCCCGACCTGTCGTGCAACCCGCAGTGCAAGCCACTGCACCCGCCATAGAAATTGCCTTTACGCAGCCTGAGGACAAAGACCCACCGGCCCCACAGGAGGAGGTGGCGACGGTAGCCAACGGCCACGTGCCCTATGCCCGGACTCTTAGCCAGATCAGCGAGGCCAGCGTGGACCTGCCGGTTTCCGAGGACAGAGGATGTGCTGGCCCTCAAGAGAGAAGTCCTGGGGTCTCGCCTGCCCTGGAAACGAACTCTTTGGCCCAAGGCACAGCCTCCGTGCTGGACACTCGGATCAGCGAGTGTGAAGAGGAGGAGGCCGAGTTTGCCGGGGCAGCTAGTGTGGCAGTGGAGAAAGATGGGGACGTTGTTAGCCCGAGTCAGGAAGCTCCACAGCCTAAACCCTCGTTGACTGAGCCCAAGCCTGACTCAGTGGATCTGCAGCCAGTAGGCGTCTTGGAGGTGCCGAGACCCAAACCTGTAGACTGTGGACTTGAGGAGGCTATTGGTACTCTGGCCTCTTCTCTGGATGACTACCGGGGACAGTTCCCTGAGCTACAGACGCTGGAGCAAGAGCTGAAGCACCTAGAAGAGATTCTCTTGGTAAGAGTGCGGAGTAATTTGCACATACTTAGCCGTCTTTTAAAAAATAGCAGTCTAATCTTCTCAACAGGGTGTTGCAAATTCTGTCACTTGTACCGGAGTTCCACCAATGGAAGTTGGATTCTGGAGCCTGCAGACATCTTGTAAATTATTTCACAGTGTGCATGATTTGTTCTGCTGCTGCAATCCAGGAAGGGGCACTGAATAGCTGGCCTGGACAACAAGTCCTTCTCTCTAATCATGCTCAATTATATCTGCCAGCTATCCCCAATTCTGTCCTCCAGGGTTTTTAAGAAGAGTTTTGTGTGCTGCAGAAAGCGCAGGCGGCTTGCACTGTGAACATTCTGCACACCAAGATGTGCCTTTGAGAGCCAGTGTGGTGTAGTGGACAGAGTGGCAGACTAGGACGCTGGGTGACCTGGGTTTGAATCCCTGTTTCTACCATGAAAACTCATTAGGTGACCGTGGACACTCCCAGCCTGGCCTGCCTCACAAGTTTGTTGTAAGAAAATGGGAGCGGGGACAACAATGTTTTAAGCCACTTTGAGTCCCAACTGTGGGGAGAAGAGGGGGGGGTATAAATAAATAGAGGCAAATGCATCCTTCACCACATCAGAAGTGCTGAGGGGCAGGGAAGATGACATTCAGGTTCTGTGTTGAAATGTGATGCAGAAGTGCAGAGAACAGGGGAGTGTTTTGCTTGCATCTCATGTGTAAGACTTTGCCCACAATACTTTTGGACTTGTCTTCCCAGGACTGAGGGAGCCCAAAGGTTTTTTTGATAGGTGCTTTTGTTGGCTTACTTCAATGGAGCCTGAAATTCCTAAGGTGCTTTGACCCAGTGCCAGTTCCCCATTGAAGGGGTTTTTTTATGCCCCCCGAAGGGGATTTTTTATTTCTATAAACTACAAAAACTACAACTAAAAATTGGAAGGGGGAGGGAAACTAAAACCCTATCACTATAGCTATGGGAAATGGGAAGAGGACAAACTAATACATAAAAGACTACTTGATGGGGAAAGGAAGCTACTATTCTAAACTATTTCATCTATTGGATTTGGGGAAAGGAAAGTTAATACATGTCACGATCTAATTAGCTAAAAATAAGGCTTATTAACCTAATGTTTCAAGTTTGGTATACAGGTTGGTTCATTACAGTATTACTTTAAGAATATGCATTTAATAGCTTAACACAAATTCTGCCTTTAAGAACTGTTGTTCTTGTTAGTTCTTTTCTTTCTTATATTTTACGTTAAACATTTGGTCCATAAATATTTTGGCTTTTGGAACAGAGTCAATTTTGTATTTTTTATCCAGATAGTTGAAGCTCAGTCCTTCCAGGAATAACCATCTATATGGTACTCCCTTTTTTTGCAGAGTGAGAGTAAGCATCCTGTATAGTTTCCTCTGTTTTCTGACTTCATAGGGAATGTCTTTTAGTATTTTTATCTCTTCATTCTTAATTTTTAGGGGGTTTCCCTTTGTAGATTTTAACACTAGTTCTCTGGTAGATCATTTCGTGAATTTTAAATAGGTTTCCCCTGGGAGTTTATTTTTCGTTATAATCCGGGTCTTCCTGTTTATAATCCATTAATGGGGCCAAAGCCTCCGCCAAAAGTTCTTTTAAATCCTCATTCTTCTCTTCAGGGATCCCATGGAAACGTAGAACATACGTAGATCTTTCCAGCTGGAGCTGTATTAGTTGTGTTTTATCAGAGGATCTTTCCTTCTCTGCTTCATCTACTCTCTTGTTGATACTCTCAGTCTGTTTTTCCATTTTTTTCAATATTTTCTCAGTTACTGAGGTTCTTTTATCCATTTGATTCCGTTTTTTTTAACACTGTCCAGTTTGGCGTTGAGGTTAGTCATCTGTTCCATTAGGGGGTGCAGTGCATTTGCTCACAGTGAAGAAAAGTCTGTAGTTACTTCCTGGTTCTGAGAGGGAGTCGTTGGTATGTTATTTCCGGTCACCAGTTTTTTCTCCGGCGTCCTCCATCCTCTCCCAGCCATAATATCAACAAGAAGTAAGTTTTCCAAAACAAGGCAAAAGTTATACGATTAAATCCGCTTTGTATATATTGGCAGTTTTTGTATTTGCTCTAAGTCTTTTTATATCTGATTTAAAACTGGTTTTAAATCTTTTTCAACAAGGGGGGGGAGGTGCTTAGTCCCTCTTCCCTCCACGCTTCAAACTTAGGCGCTTCCAATTATTACCAAGGTCCGTTCGCTTTTTCACCGGAGCATTGCCTAACTCACAGTTTGGAGACCTGGAGATCTTTTGGAAGCATTTTAAGGTTTTGATCGTGGTCGCTTGCTCTGGCAGTCATCTCTAAGTGCCATATTGGCTCCACGGCAACGGTACCTTTTGGGGATAAGGTGAGCCTCAATTCCTTGGCCGTCGCCTTGGAAGAGGCTCTCCTCAGCTCCCCAGGCTGAGGGTCTCCTACAGAGACCCCGGGGAGGTCCGGGATGAACTTGGACCCCTCCCGTCAGCCAGGTCTCGGCGCGTCCCTATCAGAGCAAGACGGGACGCGCCGAGCAGCGAAACTCTTAAACCGGAAGTCCCCCCGTTGAAGTTTTGATAGCTGGTCTCCAAACATTTGGAGTTAGGACAGTAAGACAGGGGGCATTGGGGTGGGGGATTGTCCCCCCACTGCCTTATTATTAAATTCTGGTTAATATCATAATTGATTTCATAAAAGAGGGAAGTACCTTATTTAACCATGATAATAAAAAAGATCTCTCAAAGAGATTATTAACAGCATCAAGAATAGGTAAATCTTTCAAAACAGAAATAATAAAGATATTTAGTTCTTGAGAAGCGCATATGCAAGTGACTTGCGTGAATGAAATAAATGATCTAACTTACCTTCTTTGTTTAAAAAATAAGCAATTTTCAACTTGTTACAAATGTTTGTGACTTGTTTTGCTGTCCCTCAAGATAACTGTTTTGTGCAATTTTGAAAGTTTGGCAATAGGCCAGCCTCTGTAGATGCACACTTCAATAGTCAACTTTGTAAATTTGGGGGGGGGGGTGCATGCGCACACACATGCCTGGAAGTCATGGTTGACTTCTGGCGACCCCTAGTGGGGCTTGGACCTTTAGAGCGGTGACTTGCTGTACCTCCGTGTTTTCCTAGGAGGGCTCACATCCAAGTACTTGCCAGGGTCGGCCCTGCTTCGCTTCCGAGATCTGACAATATTGGGCTTGCCTGGGCTATCCAAGTCAATAGTCACCTTTGTAGAGGTCTGCCAGTCTTTGTGGGGACATTTTGTGGCAGTGACTAGAACTACTGTTGTCATGTGCTGAGGAACAAAATACATCTGTCAAATGTGAGCCCTAGTATACAAAATATTTGATCCTAGAATAAAAAAACTCATTAGTCTTTGTTGCAAGGCTCCTGTTTTGTGGCTTTTCCAGTGGACTAATGCATCTGCCCTTCTGGAATAATCCTTTAGTAAACCCAGTAGGGTAGGATATCTTTTTTTTTTTTTTAATACGGCTAGTTTACTACCTGCTGTTTTATTAATTTCCATCCAAACCTCTTAGATGGTGGGATGGGCTCCCTGAGGAGGTGAAGGGGGGGACCATCTCTAGATGTGTTTAGGGGCCCCTACAAGGCATCTTTGTTTGCTGGGGCTTTTGATAGCACGTCAGCGGCAAGCTTTTTGGTGCAGGGGGGATTTCACTCTGTGTGTCTCAGATTTGTATTTGTAAGCCTCCTTGAACTACAGGAAAGGTGGAGTATACAATTTTTAATAAAGTAAAATAGTATAAACAAACACCAGGTCTTCCCTCTCCCCTCTCTCTCTCTTTTTCTCTCTTTTCCGCTTCCAAGCTTAAGTGGCTGCAGTCACAGAGGCAGGAAATGGGGGGGGGAGAGATGTGCTTAAAGCTGAAGCAGAGAAAAGCCCAAATAGATTAACATCTCTGTGCTATTTGCTTTCCT